AAATCATCACGAATATATTATGCATAAAGTAGTTACATTTATCTGAGTATAACTAATGGCTCGCCGTACTGAATTTGCACTCATTGCAGCCACGATATATTTCTCGAACAACCATCATCATGGCGACGTACACACCAATGAGCTATCTTTTTCTGCCCTTTCGCTCCGCCTGGGCTGTATTGCATTGCACGCCACCTATCACCCAACCGCTCCACGGTGAATCTTCAACCCTAATCCTTGATCCTAAACCCTACCTCACAATTCGCAAACCTCACAATTCGCAAACCCTTCAATGTTTACCCTAAACCCTAGACCCAAAGAAGACACGGCATTACCTGGCGTCGTCGACTGGCCGGTAGCTCAGCAAGAGTCTACCACTGCACCTGGTGAGTCACATCTGTCTACCACTGCACCTGGTGAATCACATCTGTCTATCACTGCACCTGGTGAATCACATCTGTCTACCACTGCACCTGGTGAGTCACATCTGTCTACCACTGCACCTGGTGAGTCACATATGTCTATCACTGCACCTGGTGAGTCACATCTGTCCACCACTGCACCTGGTGAGTCATATCTGTCTGCCACTGCACCTGGTGAGTCATATCTGTCTACCACTGCACCTGGTGAGTCATATCTGTCTACCACTGCGCCTGGTGAGTCATATCGGTTGGGAGATGAGTGTCTATGGGTCACTACGTTGTCGTGCACTGGGCAACTGTATAGTGCGGTGTTGCTGCCAGTGGTGCGGCTTTTATCCATGCAAGCGTCTGGGAGGTCTAGGGGAGGCACATTTTATGTGGCTGTAATGTGGTACATCTAAGATGGTTGCTGTTGGGGATGGGCTGCGTATGACTATAGTTAGTGCCTTTTGCGTTTTAGATATCTGAAGTTCCTTGTAAAAAAAAGACACGTCCCGACTGGACACCTCCGACTATCAAGAGTATTGTGATAAACTATTGCGAACATGAGAATCGTGTGGTAGAGCATAACCTTTTAAGCATGTGGTTGATGTTCTATCCATATCACTGATGGAGGCACTGGTGCAGGGGTTTCTTTTGTCAGTACACATCAAGATACGTAGTACTCAACTCTGACTGTACCCATGGTTTGTGGCATGTAGCTGCTCGATTTTTAGTGTCAAATATATATATATATATATATTTAATATTTATATATATATATTTAATAAATAAATATATATATATATATATATATGTGTGTGTGTGTGTGTGTGTGTGTGTGT